CTTGGTTTCTTTTAATTTTCGGTCTCTTTCTTCTTGACCTTTCTTAATTCTTTGCCCCCAGTGGCACAGTGGTATGTATGCGGACTTACAACACTAGAAACCGGGTTTCAATACCCGTGGTGGGCAGAGCACAGATAGCCCATTGTGTGGCTTTGCGCTTAACTACAAACAAATTTAATTATTTAATCACCTCTAGCACAGTTTCGATCTCGCTCCATAATTGGTTATGAGCTTGAAACTTAGTCAAGGTTCTACTTGTATAACTTAATTTTGTCCAATCAAAATAAAAGTCTTTTCCCTTTCCAAATGTCGTCCTCTACACTTGAGCTGCATAAGTAGATTCTAACAATCCCCAATTAATTTTAAAAAACTCCATTTTAATAAAGTTCTTTTTAAAGCTCACCACTGTCACTGAACATAATACTTCACGAGCGGGGCGAAAGGATATTTCAAAATCCATGAACACCCCAGTAGGGGAAAGTATTTCTTTCCTTTAAATCTAAATTCCTGCCAGTTTCTCTATAAGTATTAGGCAGTAGCCGCCCATTTCACAGTCAGCTCAAAATGAATACTCTGTTTAAACTATCTATCAAAGAAAAACAAACAGTTAGCCTGTTCTTAAGTTACGGTGTTTGGTATAAAAGAATGTATAGAAAATAGTTTGTCTTAGCCCCTTTCAAATAAAACATATGCTGTTGTTTTTTCATAAATTCGCTTAATTTATGTAACATATAATTAGTATAACTACTAATACTATAAAACATAACTTCAGATTACAATACGAGTTTTACTATACTTTTAGCCTTAGGCCTAGAATTGTTTAGGATTTTACAACTAACTCCAGACCCAATTTATAGCTCTGTATTTGTAGCTAAAACTGAAGCATAGCGCCTAACTTTAACTAAAACACTAAAACTACTTGAATTAATTTATTAAATTTTTTTTTTTCATTTTTCAGCTTTAGTGTCATCTTCCTATACCGTTATATAACGAAGTTAATTTTTATACGGCTGATTCAAGTACATGAAAATGTTAAAAAACATACATAATATTAGACCTAATTTATACATTCAGTACATTTATCCTACTGTTAACGTGACATTAAATTAGGTTATTTTTGTTTTGAATGTTAATAATATTTAGAAAGGTACTGATAAATTTAAACTTTAATATAAATTATAAGCTTATTAATTACGTCATGCGACTTATTCTATCATTGTGTCGAAAATTAATAAAGGAATTGTTTAAATAGTCATATTTGCTATTTCAACCCAAATCACAGTTGTGTGCATGAAATTAACCAACGTTCTTGTCATCTTACCCTAGAAATAACTTTAAAACTACAAGTCTTTGTCACGACCAATACAAGTTCCAACGATGACATTAATCCTAACTCAATACATTATCGTCTGCATTACAAAAGCAATCAGCTTTCCGTTATCGAGATAATTTGATACTATTGCGCATGGCCATTTTATAAACACACAAAAAAAGAATTAAAATAAACAGTAGATTAATAAAATATATTTTTATTTAATGTACACTAAATTAAATACTATGTAATGGTTTTCAAACGAGACTCAAAACTACTGCGCTTTCGAAAATAAGTAATGGTGAAATTAACTATTTAAAACTTCGTAATTATTTTGTCTTTATAATATTACAGTATACATAATTACTTCAAAAAGAAACAAATAACATAATTAATAGCTTATTTTAATGTACTGTATCTAAAACCAACGTCTGTGTACATTATTCGACAACTGTTTTAACTCAAATTGTATTTTATTATTGTATGTCTTCCAAATAATACGTCTGAATTATAATTTTCCTACTTGCAATGTATTTACAAGATGTGCGTTTTTCCATAGCAGAGGGTTAGCTGCTCTGTCGACCCAGGGAAATCGAACCGCTGATTTGAGCGTTGTTCTGTGTTTTGTGTTCGTTTGTTAATTTTCCGTAGAAATTCTTTCCGAAAAACTTCTGCAATACAAGTCCTTCCTTAAATAAAACTAGTTTATTCTTTCTCAATACAAC